GGGTTTTTCAAGGTGGAAGTTGCTGCAATGTGTGCAGCTACCCACATACAACCTCCAGGCACGGGAATTACTTCTCTAGCGTGCCTGAGCCCGACCTTTGCCTTTAAGATTTCACCGTCTGGTACATTACTGTTTTAAGATTGACCTCGTTCTTACGGTTGGTAGGCAGTGCGGTTTTGAAAGCCTACTTGAACTTCATTGGTGATCGGGCGTTAAGGCGCGGTCGCAACCACACTCTCAGCGCGCTCAGAGGTCTAGTCCTCCAATGACGTTCAATGACCTCATCAAAATTGTCCGCCCCTGTCATCGTGATCCTACCTTAGAAGGTTTACAGTGAGTCACTCTTCTTTATCTTGAATGATGAACCAATCACCCTAATTACTATCGATTTGGGATGCTATACCGCTTATTTCAACACGAGATGTGCCCTTGATGCGCATTAGTGTGTGCCAATCAGAAGTGATGTATTTAAATGAATCAGAACGTATCTAAGCTGTAGATAACTATATGAATATTAAATGTGTAATGCGATATATTTTGTACTTCAGAGCAACGTCGGCATACAGAATGTTATCCGAACCTCAAACAGCGGCGGTCTTCTCTACTGTGCCATCAAGTAATTAAATTTACTTACATTATTTGATACCATTTTGGCTAGGATACATTGTTTGATATCATCTTGTCTCGCGTACCTATGCACCGTCTCGTACGCCGTAAAGTTTAGTGAAAGGAATCCACTAATGAGCGTCTAACGCGGAATTCTACCCTTGCTGTCTGTTCTCTTCCTTGGTCGCTTTATATTTCGATCTAATTTCATAGAGGTTTCCCTAGTTTCTATAAAATTGCCACTAATTCCTGCCTCATGGTGGAATATTTGGCAGAATGTCCACTAGTAAAAAATTTTGGAGTCCTGAAGTACTCAGTCGGACCCGAAAACCAATGGAAACTACGAACCGTAGGGTAGAAGCGATGCTGGATGCAGCTCAAGCCTTCAGTTCTTGAGACTTTAATTTATGGTATTCCATAATTCAATCGAAATCGCTTTTCGAACTAGACTATCCCAGTTTGACTTGAGAGTCGCTAAATAGTGAATTTCCCGTAAGAAAATCTGTGATGTATAGTCGATATTCGGAATTCATTGCTGTCGCTTTCGAATATCGCCGTTTTTGGAGTGCACGGCGCATATTCGAAAAATTCCTTCCTAATGTCTTACTTTCACCCTTTCTATTCTGGGTTTTCGGGCAGTGCCCTTGATCTACAATTAGCAAAGCCATTTCATCAACTACCTCCAAGTTTTTTTATTCCTAAATTCTTCCCTCTTCAGCCAACGATTGGATCCTAACCAAAGTAACCTATACAATCTCAACAATACTTATCAAATACTGCTGGCTGCAGGGCCAACTGAAGGCGACCGTCAGTTTATCTAATTCTGTCTTCTGCTTCTTGAATTCGCGCAGTTTTCTGTATCCTATCGTATTTCAGGGTTATCGTATCCATCAGGCTAACCGATTCGTGATGCCTCGTACGCGGTTGTCGGCATATATGAGAGGAGTCGGTCTTGTGGAAAGTAGGTCTTCCAGGTTGAAAACGGCTTCGAAGGAAACATTAAATTACACCATTATCCCTTGAAACAGTTTTATATTTTTGCAATTTTAGGATTTCTATACTTATAATTGTTTTAATGAACATAATCCACTATCAGTGGAGTTTTTCAATAGAAGTGGAAGTATTTTATCTATTAAATCCTTCTAGATCCACTATTTGATGAAGGAGAGCGATCGAATAACGACAAGCTGATGGTTGCTCATGGTATGTGAAAATTACAAGAGCTTCACTCTAAAGGAAGTTTCACCAGATATACAACAAACAAAACAACAGAAAGTAGAATTTTACAATGAGTATTGCAAGCCAGCCATAAAAGGCACATTCTCCCGATGGTGCAAGCGTTGTTAGTATGCACTAATTAAAAGAGAAGGTGAAGAGCGCAGGAAAAAAGAAGAAAAATCTGCAAAACCACTGAAATAGAGGGTCTTTAGATTTTTTAGAGTGAACTAACCAGTAACGAAGAAATACTGGACACAGAGATGTGAGAATGGAGAGGGCAGGGAGACGAGCAATACGCTGACAGTACCTCACCTTCCCCACTTTCGTAGGAAGACCCGGCAACAAGAAGGGCCGCTAGAATGTTGACATCTTAGTGCTTCTTAGCGCTTCCTTCATCAGTTCTGCTCGTATGGCTTAGTCACGACTTTGAAGATCAGGTCCTAATTTTTGTAGCCGTTCCTTTTTCTTTGTGGATTGCAGGCTCTAATACCTAACAGTGTGGTTTTCGGCTAACTTCTCTAACTAGGTTGTGTGACAGTTGTGAGTTTGGTTGTTTATGAAATCATCAAAGAATTCCTCAAGGTGCTACAAACTGAAGTTTAATCAGAAAAAGTGTAAACATAATGACTTCGTTGTTGATAGTCACCGCTCCCTGAAAAAAGCAAACGAAAACCTGCCAATTTGAGTTTAAGATACTTAAATTTTGAGATGTGAATTTGCCCGAGCCTCAGAGAGGAACGCATGTGGCATCATGGTGAATATAGAATCGGTATATGCATTCATATTCCTTGCTCGATGGAAAAGTACTTTTTTTCACATACTCGAATCAAAATTTATATTTGGAACGGGGCGGAAGTGGTGTAGTGGCAAGTGGCACGCTTACCACGCGAGCGGTCCGGGGATCAAATCCTGGGTCGTGAGTCGCCCGGGCCAACCAAGCCTTCCATCCCTCCGGGGTCGGTTAATTGGTACCAGACTTGTCTGGGAGGATAAAAAACACTGACTTGTACATCGGCTGGCCCCGCAAGTCATTGTATAGGCCACATCGCATTCAAACGCCACTACGAATGTACAAATGGAAGTAGAATGCGTGCCGCATCCCAAAAAGGGATTGATCAACGGCAAATGCTTTATCCTTTTATTATTTAACTTTTTTTTAATAATGATTGAATTTTGGTGCAGCACTGGCAGATTAAAGAAACGCAATCAAAAACCACAGTACGCGGATGTTATAATTTGGAACTAATAGGTTTAGGGCCGTGAGTTGTGTGAAGAATGAAAAGTTGACACCTTGACGATTAGATGGGGGGCTGGGCGGAGTTTGGGCATTCGCTAGCACACTCTCAATGCAGCTTGAGGCGAAGGGTCGCCTCAACGCATTGATCTCTTGACCCAACTTCCCTCTTCGCTAAGTTCATAACTCGAAACGCCAGCCTCCCTGCTCACACACACACATAGCTTCACAAGAATAAGATCATAGAAAGTTCATTCTGAGCCTTGCCCTTTAGCGCAGTTGAGTAATTTCTCCTCGATGATACCGAAAATGTGAATCTGTGCTGAACGTCCAAGAACACACCAATAAGACAGTCGAAGTGAATCTGCCCGCAACTCCTCAAAAGTGATTAGATGATGGCTATCGTTCAAGGTACACAAGTTCCCTTGAGGTAAGCCGCGCCCCGAACTTTTTCTAGAAATGTGGAAATATGTGAATGTCTTTGGCTTGCCACTTTGTGGATTGCAGAACCCACCTATATTTGAGTTCTTCCAACCTGTCATCCCAAAACGTGTCTGCTATTGGGAGATTACGAAGATTGACTCCAGTTAGGCGAGATTCGATCGCGCTGGATGCGCGTTCGTGGAGTAGGCTTCTTCTGTCCCAACGGACTACAACCGTTGACTTCTTAAATTAGTAGAAGGATGGAAGGATTATCGTTGCGTTACGCATAAGAATGAGTAACACGATTGTGTTTCTCTGAAATGGAAAGCGTGTAATGCACCGGGGGTTTGTGAACCATTTTGGTGCAAGTTCGATGCCAGCTACCGTTCGAAGATATCTGCCACGATGCCACACACAGGCGCCGTCAACAATTTTGACAATATATCACCCTTTATAACCCATTAATTCTACTAATCAATGCTTTTCCCGCTATCAGTCAAGAGATGAAGACTAATTTTCTTTCTTCGAATTTGAATCCTGGCCGAAAACTCCATGTTGCACATTTTTAGGTATCCTCATGGTACTATCTTGGTCAATCTTCATCTCAACTGCAATCCTATTCGCTCGACATATGAAAGGGCATTGCCCGAACTCGGCGCTCTGTGGACTTCAGCTGTGGTTTCATGTAAGTCTTTAGATCGCTTAAAACATGGCGTCGGTTGCATCCAAGGATGGCCGTTCAGCAACAGTGAAACCCACCAAACTTTTCTTAATTTGCGAAAAGCGTGCGCCATGCATCCCACTCTCATTCAAACTTCTAGCGGCACTTGGATGCACTTTCTCAACGCATAATTGAGGAGGAGGCTTCATTTACCGTGGCAGTGTTTTAATGAGCCCAATCATCCCAGAGTTTGATTTCAAATTTAGCTACCATGCAGGTGTGGAGTGGTTGGCCGCCCTAGACGAGATTCGCTCCAAGATTTGCCCCCGAATCATGTGCAGGGTATGTGGCACTACCCATCACCAAACAATTCCTACGCCACTATTGTGGGCTAGATTAATATGTGCCATAATATCATGTGTATAACCTCACCAGAATAGGCGCCTTTCACACCCATGGTTCGACGCGACCCTTGCTCTTCTTAGGCTTTTGCAATACACTCTGTGCTTTCAGTTCCATCGTACTCTCAACATGATCGGCATCGCTGGGACCATAGCCGGCTTTCGTGGTGGTGTTTGTGGCGAAGGACTGGCGATGGGTGGGACCAAAAGCTTACCAATCATCAGAACTGGTAAGTATAACAATAAACACATATTATTTAGTATGAGTTTATCATATTCTATTGATATTTTCAAGAACAACCAATGGGGATCGGTGCATGCGATGCTAGGATTGATCGCCTGTGTAGTCGCTTGGGCTCAACCGCTCAATGCTGTCTTCAGGTTTGTTCTTTAGAAGTCTACTATATAAAATTGCTCATTTGTTGAATCAAATGTTTGTAAAAAATATTTTGCATTAAATCTCGAAGGTTCGCCCGAATTTTCTTAGGTTGTTTCAATTAATTGGATATTTTCATAACATTCATTCATGTGGTGGGTTTTGTGTGGAATTTTCTGATTAAAGGCTATAAAACTTTCGCCCATTCCCTATTTCACATGAAAGTCAACACGTCATTTTTTGTAACTATTAGAAGTTGTGAAATACGTTTTTTATTGCTCTATTCAAGGATTGCGTCAACAAGAAATTCTCAGATGTTTTAATGCTGAGCTATGTTTTCTTTCAGGTGTCATCCCGATGGAAAGGGACGGATTCTTTTCAATATTATTCATGGATTCTTCGGTTTCGGTTGCTGGCTCTGTGCAGGTATGTGAATAAGTAAGAGCTAACCCTGAAAATCGTTTTCTAGGAAGTTATGCCTAAAATTTTGAAGGCCCAAATAAATAGGTAAATAAATAAAAAACATTAGGCGTTCACCTAGGTATTGTAATCGCGCTGGTAGGTTAGGACAGTGAGAAATGGGCCACTAGTGAAGAAAAGAGGAGGAGAAAAGCGCGGTGCCGAAGAAAAGAGGCAGGAAAAAAGCGTGGGGGCCATTCTTGGGCGCTGGATGAGTAACCGAGTCATGCCGAGTAACAGGCATTGCGTAAAGGCGACAGCGAAACTGGGAACAGGGAGTTAAGGGAGAACGAGACACGCACAACAGGGGCATGTAGCACGTGTAACTTCGGCCGTTATAGATTCTTAGGGTGTGCATGTATGTGGTGAATTATGAGGATTCCCTTTCAAAATGATAGCTCATGTGGAAGGAGGGTTACAAGGCTTCTGTCAACCAAAGGGTGAGAGCGTAGCTGGAAAAGCACACACTTTGTGTCTTATTGGGACTAAGCCTTTTGAAGAAGATAAAGAAAGAGGAGATGCTGTGATAGTGTGCACTTGTGAGAGCTCCCAGACATCACTACAAAACGCTGAACCGCCAAGGCTCACGGTTGACAGAACGTCCTGCCCCCGCCCGCCCCCCCCTCGCTGAGATAGTGAAAGGGTAGCCAAAAATGCCTCGGTGTATAAGTGGTTTAACTGTTCTAGCTTATTCATACGCTTGTCAGATATGTTCCGTAGAGAGGACACTTCATCACTGCTTTCGTATTTCAGCATCGGCGACGATGATCGCTGTGGTACACTTCAGAATGTTCAGTGATCGCGATGCGGCACTCGGCATTTATATCGCATTTGTCGCCGTCGCTGGGCTTACCTGTATAGTCATGGAGTTGCTCACCTTCAAGAGTACGTAAGGATACTCGTTTATGGATACTCATCATTTCAATGAACTATTTTCCAGACTGGTGGACAGGACGGCATCGCGTCTTCAGGTGAGATTGAGATGGTTCGCGTCGGCGGTACTACCACCGCCGTTTATACGGACTCTATTGAGAAGGTTGGTTGGTCCTTTTATAATTGTGAAGAAATTATTATGAGCTGCTCTCTTCCAAACGGTTTCGAGAGGCGAGAGCGATTCCCGAGCGCAGCAAAACGTGCATCTGCCAACTACGCGTAGTGGCGTTTGTGGCAAATATTCCGAGCCTTATGACCGCATAAATTCCCCTTTCGCCCACGCTTAGCCGGTGAAGTTTTGCCCAGCAATGCTCATCTAGAGGTCAGAGTCGGTGTCACTGCTTTCACAATTGTATCATTGACTGGTAGGTGTTGGAGATGGAGAAGCGGAGACGTGTTGATCGCTGGAAAAGTGGGGAAGTGGAGTGGTTTGTACTGATGCTCAGGATCCCCTCGGAAATGGCTCTGGCTCCCCCTTTCATGTTAGATTAATTGTCACCATTTAGTCGCATGCAGACGCGGCGGCATGAACTTTTTGTACTCTCACGTGGCGTAGAACCATTCTTTTTTGAGTCTCAAGTTGTAGATCACTTCAGAAACTCTATTGGCATACGCGCTCAAAGCCGCCATGGTGCAGTGTCGCCACTTCTATAAGCCGATTTCAAAGACATTACGCCATAGCTCCACACCGAGGCTTGTTGGAGCTTAAAGGCACGAGTCAGGCTTGATGGACCAAACCAATCCCTTTTGTCGTCTTTGTGCATGGCTACGCACCCACAGAGACGTTACCATGCTCAGAATCCCAAACGGCGCCGTAATAAGGCTCCAGGGCACGTATTAAGCGCTTTCGCCGGCCTGGCGCTCCGACCGCCCACCTCCGGAAGTGGTGCGTGGCTGGCATAACGTGTGAAATCAGCTAGGTTGATTGCCGTATCAACCGATAGAACGACTGACATCTCCAGAAAACTTGTTTGTACGTGCCTCTTTCCCAAGCCAGCCTCCTTCACTGCTAGTGGGAAAGAGGGTTTTGTTAACGGCCTTGTCGACGGTTTTTCTCAGTTTTTTCTCCACTGTCGTTCCACTTCGCATCTCTATACTCAGTTTCAATCGCCATAATACCCCCTTATTGAGCCCGACTTTTGCCTTTAAGTAGTTACGATAAGGTGGAGGTCCAAAGAAGAGAAAATTAACCTAAGTCAAAGGAAGAGGGTCCCCCAGTTGTACGCAGATGCGATGCGCAATTTTCGCCTGGCGAAGAGTATGTCCAGCAGCGGCCTAGCAGCGTCGACGTCTCGCCGCCAACTGTCACCGGAATAGCGAGGCGCTAGCTTTCGAAAATCTAGCCGCCCTAGCAGAGAGAGGTTGGCCCTGATGAGGTCGGCATCGATGAGACAAGGCCTACCGCGTTCAAACGAGTAGAGAGGGTCACATTTTCTGAGATATTTTTTTGGCGCGCTGCATCCTCTGACCATCCAAGCCTGGCATCTCATCACTATTTTCGTACGTCAACGTATGGGCCTTCAAGAGGATGTTATAATCGGTTGCTTTCGACAGGGCGACGTCTAAGGTATCGCTGTTTAAAGTGCTGCTAACAGAAATTTTTGAAGGGACCTTCATTCGAATGATTCTTGAGAAATCGAGATATGCAAAGAGGTAGTCGATGTTGGGGAGCGGGGGGGGGAGTGGTGATGAAAGAGGGAAGGGAGGAAGCGCATTTGAGGATTTCTTCATCACCGTTTTTGGTCCTGGTCGAGGACCACATTTTGAAACTTCATGACAACTTTCTTATTATTACGTTTACTTCTAAATTTGAGCACATTGCAAAATTCATTAAACTTTCAGACGCGGCATCTCCAAGTATTCATCCTGCTGTTCTTCGTAGTGGTCGCTATTGGCACAGCTGTAGCGATATCTGTGCTAATTGGCAAGAAGCCAATTGCATGATCATGTCAGATTTCGTGTGCATTTCCAAAAATGTGTGGTCCAAACTGATTTTGAAGAACGCATTATAGGGCGTACTGTCTAGGCCTACAGACATGTTCATCTCTAAGGGTAAGGCTCATTGAAATTCGCTTAAATAGGTCCCCGTAGAGGTCGTAGATGTATGCCAGTAGGAACATTTGCTGTGCTCCGTACTCCATTCATGTTGGAGATTCGCGACATTTTTATGGTCCCTGTTCGGGGGCGGTGTGGCAGTACAGTTTATCCTCACAATCAGTGTCATTCGTGAACGATACGGTAGCCCTTTTCGCGCAGCATTTCAACTTTTCTAGCCCTTGTAAGATCTGAGGACCTAAATTCGGAATGGACTGCACATTTAGAGCCTGATCACAGGTTCCTTTCATTTTTCAGAGGTCTTTTACAAAATTTTCTCTCAACCGTGTCACTTTTCCCTTTGCAAGGACCCTTCTCTTATGTATACACTAACTCAAATTTCTATGAGTGAATGTGCTCTGCCCTGTATTTGCTATATTTGTATATTTTGTTAGGAATCGTGTTTATTTCATTGTCTTAGAAGATTTTTACTAATTAAAATGCACAATAATTTGTCCTCATCATCACTGTAATCATTTCATTATGTACATGCTCAAATGTCTAGTCTTCCAAATTTCAATAATAGTGACATTGCTGTCATTTATAATGATTTATCACAGAAATAAACCTTTATGAGAAAAATCAATACGCATTCCCAAACGGCTGAGGTCTCTTACGGTTTACACTATTTTCCGAGAAACATATGATACTTTTCATTATCATATCATATTTATCATGTTTCGCACTATCGATAATGGCATACCTGTGATTGGGAGCAAACAAATCAAGTAGAGCTTCAACTCAGTCGCAAATGGAGTAATGCCGGGTCACATCGGCTTTTTTTCTGATTGGAAGTGTTTATTTAGAAGGACTCATAGAAAATACAGCATTCCTCATTGATCATTCTCTTTTCGAGGATGCGCATGCATTCTTGCTCCGTTTGGACAAGCACACGAATCGGAATCTATGGAGGCTTATGGGTGGACTTGTGGGGGCCAGTTGATGTCACATTCCAGGTTTTATTCTTCATAATGATTATGTCACACTCCATTCCCGATAATCTTGGGACGCTTTTCGCCAGGGCTAAGATCCAGTCAGATTGATCTGGCAACTCATGAGATTGTTGGATTAGCGAGTCGCTAAATGACACCCAAATAAATTATATACAGATGTGGTGTTTGCACTTGGTTGTGTGCTGCACCTCTCTGTTTGAGCTTTAGTAAGTTATTATTATCTCTACCAACCCATCTGAGGAGAAATCGTGAAGGACGGTTATTAAACAAATGACCAAGATTCAAAAATTTAAAACTGAACGGCGACGTCTACTACAGTAATAGGAGAGTCTAGTAAAGACTGCCAGTGGAAACTAATAAAAAAGTTACAACTAAGTAGACTGTACCTAAAAAAATCCATTCTTCAAAGAGTTGTCCTCAGAAAATCATGATTTTCTCACCATAAATCACTGGCTTGGGACCCATCGTTCACGATAAGAGTGAGAAGAACAAAAATTGTGTTTGTTTCGGTAAACAATTCGAAAAACCGGAGATACTTCCCGAATTCGAAATCCCGTTCGAATTTCCGCCATACATCTGCCACAAATATGACAACGGGAAGGTTTCCACTTGGTTTTCGGAGTTTCTTTACTATTAATTGGCTTTTTTCACCAGTGGTAATAACATTTTTCATTTCTACTACTACCTATTTTTCGACCTTTTTATCACTACGAATCCATACGCTCAATTCTTTCGATGCGTTGCCTGATACGTGCTGTCCTAAGGCGAACTTCTTCCATGCGGTCCCTTGTTCCGCCCGATCTACCCTCGACCGTCCATAGAGTGTGGTTTTCGTAAGTTTGTTTCTCTTCGGAAACTGAATCTTCTTGCGTGAAACTTTGCTTTATCTCTAGTGATCACAACTGGCATATTCATGTTGGGAAAGAATGCAAGATTTTCCGTGAACCATTCTTTCAATCAAATCCAAATTCAATGAAGTCATAGTTATACATTTGCAGTATATGATTCATGAGGTACTCGTCCGCCAAAAGTTGCTCGCGTACCTTCTTCCTTGCAAACGAGCTTGCGGTTGAATGAGGTGTTGTTCCTTCTGAACAGAATGTGTCCTCAAAGCATTTTTTGGGAGGAAAAACTGGATTCAAATAGGAAACTATAGGTGAATAGTGGCACGTCTGCGTAGGAAAAAACAATTCAAACCATCTGGAAAGCTTCGAAAAGGGCTCTCAAATTGGAAGTGGACAAGTTTACATAGGATGGCGAGTGGAGCATGCGGACGATTTTTCCCACACGCCCTTGTCAGCAATGATTTATTGGGGTTTCAGGTCTTTGCACAGTCTAGAATCTCAGAGGTTGCAGAACGACGAAAAGCGTTCAATACGTATTGATTCGAAGAATCGGAGAATAGTAAATCGGCGAAAAGCCTTGCAGATGTCATCTATTCATCAATTCGGTTGGGTCCGCTCCTTTGGCCTTTCAGGGGATTCCGAGAATAGCGGAAGGAATTCATGGAT